ATTTAGCAGAAAAAGATTATTATTATTTTGTTTTTTTAATAAGGTATTGTTAAAGTAGATTATATAAAAGCTTTTTTTTGGTTCAAATTTTTTTTTAAATTATGCAATATATTTAGCATATTTAGCAAGAATGAAAATATATTGTTAGTTCTATTTAATTGAATTTTGATTAATTTATGCTATCACAGCTATGAAGCCTAACTATAATATGTGGCAAGGTTTCTGCACTGCCTGTAACAACTATAGAGACTAATCACAACTGAATTTCTTGCATTGCTATTGCAGCCACAAAACCTAATAACAATATAAAGTCCTTGTACTGCTATCATAGTTGCAAAGCTAAATTACCAAAAATGAGATTTTTGTACTGCTATGATAGCTATAGAGTTTAATCACAACTACTACATAATACAATATCAAAATCTCTAACACTCTTTAAGTGACTCAGGTGTTTAGTTTAAAGACATAAATTTTTTAAAATATCATGGGTATATACCAAACAACAGAATGAAGAAAACCAAAAATAGACTTTTTAACAAGAACTTACTACACAAGTAGGAAAAATTTATCATATAATAATAGAATTCTCTATAGAAAAAGAATTTGATAAGAAAACACTTGAAGAAATCAAAACTGAACACAAAAAATATTAAAAAATTAAATAATGCATTGGAAATACCCAAATCTAATATTATTATTTGAAAAATACTACTGTTTTAATAGCAAACCACACAATACAGAACAACAAATAAACTAAACCCCTAACTACTAAACAATCTTTAAACTTACTTAAACTACTAATTCACAACCTTGAATTAGAACTTGAAGAAGTAATTTACACAAGTATAATATTAGAACAGAAAATCTAACTGTATACAATTGCTATGAAAATGATGACTACTTCTAGATTATATCAGAAATAAGAAATATACAAAAATGATCAATTAGAAATATAACCAAACCATTAGACCATTTGTAGCAAAATCAAATAAAGAATTTGAAAGACAGTGCAAACTAGAAAGTTATAAAAAATATTTAAAACAAGTCTATAAGAAAAGAACTGAAATAAGTATAAGTAAAAAATATTGAAAACCTGAAGGACAAACTTGAAAAAATTTTAAAAACTATCATACAAAGATTTGGGAACAAGAATGTATATCTTGAAGAACTATTAAACCAAGAATTATACCAATCTAAGGAATTTTGAAACCCAAAGGACCAGTGACAAAACAACTCAGGAATATACTCAAATCCAGAACTATTAGCATACCTTGATAAACAAGACCCATATAACCTACCAAATAGAATCATGACACAAGCAATAGTACCAATGATACAATAAAACCTTTTTTATATATTTAAAAGAACTGAAGATTATTTCTTGTTAGAACAAATAAATTGAATAAAAACAATACACCAGAATAAAATAATAAATCTAAGAAAAGTATTTATACAAGTATTAGCTGAAGTAAATGAAAAAGAAGAATTAACACCCCTAACTATGGAAGAATATTAAAAAATTTTAACAGACAAAGAGTCTATTACTGCAAGACAAATTCAAAGGGAGAGACTATTAAAAACTCAAATACAAAAGAAAATAGCCCTTATTAAAATGAATAGAAAAACAACTAACAAACTTTGACCACCTTTTGAAAGTATATAAGTACCTCTTAGTTTTTGAAAAAACTGACTGAGCCAAAGTAGCAACAATTTTAGAAAAATACCCAAAAGTAATTGATCTTTCAAAATTACTAAAAACTATAATAAACAAGCTTAAAAAACAATATTACTATTATAACCTGAAGTATGACAATAGTGGAAAAGCTTATCAGATAAAAATATGACAAACAAATAAATTTCAAGTTATACTTGTAACAATAAACTTTCTGATGACTGAATATAAAGATTTAATCCTTATAGAAATAACTAGCAATACAAATCCAGCCACCTTTAACTTAACTATAGCTGAATGAACTGATATATACAGTACATGTATATATGTACATATATACATGTGTATTAGTCACACAATTTTTCATACAGATTACAGGGTAAATTTTTTACTATGAAATTTGAGTGATTGACATGTATATGATGGGCTCAATTTTTATAGTAAATTGCAACAGTCACCTACTTTCAATCATTTATTTCAAGAGTTTCTAAAAAGAAAACTGCATTTATGACATGTATTTTGACTGTTCAGAAAGTTGATTTCTTTATTATTTGCAAGTTTAAAATACAATACAAAATAAATCTGAGAAGAATGAGGTCTCTAAAGATGCTCATTGTTTCATATTATATAATATGGTAATGGCTTTAACAATAATGAAATGCAAAAGTTTTTTTGGTTTTTTTGCTGAACTAACTTATTATTATAGTCAACTTTTATAATGATCAAGAAAATAAAAGTGGTTGTTTTATTTTTTTCTATTCTCTTTTCTCTATTTCTATAACTAATAACAAATTGAGCTTAATAAAGAAAGCTGATTATGTTAGAAAATGCATATTATAGTGTGATCAAGATGTATTACAAATTATATTTTTAGTCATGGGTACAAATATATATTATTATTTAAAATTTATGTACTTTGTAATTAAAGATAATTATTATTGAAATAAATTCTTTTTAAATAAAATATAAAAATTTTTATTAAATATATTTAAATTTGTACAATTATATAATTATTAAAGTTGAATAAAATAAATTTTCTAGAAAAGATAATCGTTACTATTACTGTATTATAAGTATTTGTTTGTTCTTTTTATTTCTATAAAATATATTTCATTATAATCTCAGTTATATTGGCAATCTCATAGTAATCTCGACAATCTCAGCCTTAATCTACTACTAAAATATGGTCTAATTATTGTATATTAGTTTCATAGTCGAATTGTCTATAAAAGACATCTTAAACTCTCAAGCTTCATTAATAATTACAACCTTTCTTTAAAAAAAAAAAACACAGCAAAAATTAAAACATGGAATACTTATTTGAAGATTTATTCGATTTTTAAGACGACTTTAATCAAGAATCTGATATCAATATTGAACAAGCAGTTTCAGATAAAGAATCTCTTGTTTTTGACTTGAATTCGTTGAAAATTTTGCAAAAAAAAATAACTGGATCAATTGAAAAGTGATCATGAATTCTCTGAAGATTATAATAAAACAAAAATGTTTTTAGAAAAAATTGAAATACCTCCTTATTCAAATAACTCTACCAAAGTAACATGTTGCCCTATTATTAACAATAATGATGAACCAAGCACAATTCAAAGGTGTAGCAGAACAGCTGATATCTATGTGAATCAATTATTTGGCACATGGGAAATTGATTCTCTGGCTATACAAGAAATTGGAAATAATACCTCAAAGTTAAAAATCTGTTCAAATCATTTCAATTATGATCATAAGGTTGTACATGGTGGTGGTATAAAGAAGGGATACCTATCTAGCAAAAGCAATATAAACTTACATTATTGTTTCTTTTGCAATAAATACAAGTATTTCTTTACAAGAGGTAAAGCATGCTCATTGCATAGATAAAAAGTATGCGGATGCATAATTTAGGCTCCATGTCATGGCACATTCAACTGCTCAGCAATTACTGAATATAATAGTTTATCAAAAAAGTTACTTGATAATGATAAACCTCGATTCATTTGTGCAACTGTTTTGTATCGCATGGAGATCATTTACAGACTCAGCTAAAAAAAAGTTTTGTGTGTGGAACAAGGACAACACAAAGCTAATACTGCATCTTCTTTAAAGTTTTTTGCCAGGTGGATCGAACAAACTGCCGAGTCGGGGCAAGAATCTACAAAAGTCGATCTATTAAAAAAAATTATTACCCTTTTTAATAGTATCACTACTGATGTATCTAAAATGCCAGGTACCACAAGTGTATCTTCTAAATTCTAAGTTATTTTTTAATAAAAACAGTATTTGCTGTTAGAAAAATTAAAATTAAAGAACAAGAACTATTAAAAACCACCACATGTAAAGCTCTTAGAAATATGCTTGCTAACTCTATATTACAAGAACAGTCTGAACTTGAAAGAAGACTATCATTGCTTGAAAAGCCTAAATTGTTAGAAGAATACTATAAAGCCATGCTAGCATCTCTTGTCAACTTTTTTGCGGGCTTAGCTACTACTATAAAAGAAAAAAAATTGATGAGATTAGCTAGAAAAAGAAAAGAAAAAATTATGCCTCCTCCACGGTTAGATACAAAAAAAATCTATCTAATCTCTATCTTTTTCTTATCTTTGATACTTACCATTGCTTTTCCTCATTAGAAAATATGGTTTATACATATTTTCTCTTCTCTTTGCCAATGACCAAAAATGTTAGGGTTTTGTACAAAATTCTTTACACAGTTCAGGTAGCATCGTATGCTAGAGATTATGAAGTACATACCCAAAAAAAAAGAATATTAGCTGTAGAACCTCAGTCAAGGCTCGATACAAGTTCAAATATTTTAAATATCGCAGCTATAGACAATATTGATACAAAAGATAAAACCTTTCAATACAGAAATATTTTCGATGCGATTCATTCTACTGCTCATGTGACAGTGCGGATAGTCTTTCAATTTCAATGTTTAGAATTTGACTTCTCAAATACAGAATTAATAGAAGATCACGATCTCTTTGGCATAAGTTCTTTTATGGAAGAATGGGAAACAAAAGTAGATATGATTTTTAATTAATTAATTTGTAAAGGGTCAGAGTTTGGTGTTAAAAATATTGATACAGCTATTAGAGATAAAATCAACCCAGCAATTTTTGTAGCTCCTCCAAATGTTGTAATTCTTGAACTAGAAAAAGCACCAAGTGAGAATAAGCACATTTATGAGGCTATCGATAAGTTTTTGGATAATTTCAGATATATGGAAAATGGTATATTAAACTTGGTATACAATGAAACAATTTATCATCACATAAAAGATTACAAGAGCGAAGAGCAAACAGTGCACTGCATTTTAGAACAGTGGCATATGAACAAAGCAATATGTAGTGCATTAAGTGCTGCCTTTTTGGGTTATAGACTCTTCAGGCTTGCTACACAACTTGGTGTTAAATTTCTTGATAAATTTGCAAAAGTTGTTGATTATCAGTCAACATTTCAGGTAATTGAATTTATTTGGGTGGTAGTAGGAGTTGTGATTCATCAATATTGTCAGAAAAAAAATATTTCTATTAATAATATTTATAAAGAAGACAATAATCTTTTAAAAGTGTGGTATAATTTTTACCAGTAGGCAGGATACTTGAAATTACATAAGCTCAGCATTCGAATGGCAAATTTTGATCTACAAATGCATAGTTTGATGGCATTTGCACCTTTATTCCCTGCTACAAGAAAATATAGATATACTGAATCTGTCACTCGATTCTTATCAGATCTTTGAAGTAATCTACAATTTCTTCAAGATCTTTAATCTGTATCTTCTGTTAATTTAATACAGGAAGGAAAATCTTTGGCTCATAATGAGTCTCTAGAAACATATGGAGTGAAATTTCTTAAGAAAAATTTGACTGGTTGTGCAACAGATTTAGAAAACTTAAAGCTAAATATGAAAGCAGCACAAGCTGGATACGATCAGCTTAATTTGTTAATTTTTGAATTTGCTGAAGGTCAAGTAGTAAACAAAAAATTACAATCAGTTAAAGGCCATCTTAAAGCTCTATGAAAGCTAATTAATAAACTAAAATTAGCATTTAGCAGCCAGCAACCCAAATTCTATCCCTATTTGCAAAAACAACACAATTAACAAATAAGAGTTATCAATAGATATTTGCCTTCTACGAAAAAGGCATCAATAGATTAAATAATATTGTTGAGCAGGATATTCATAAAACTGCTGTACAAGTAAAGAAAGGATAAGGTATACTGGATATAATACCTATGAGTATGCCAAAAAGTAAGAAGCGTTCAAGAGAAGCTGATAACATGATGATAGAAATAGTTTTATAATCAACAGAGCTATGTGATGACATGGAAGCTGAAGTGACTAATGAAGACTTACAATTATTATCTGAACCTTCAGGATCCACATCTCAAAGATGTATACATACAGATGTGGAAGAAGAGATTCTAAAAGAACTTGAAGAATATAAAAACTCTAGTGTTTTATCTCCGAATATCCTTAGTAACCTGGTTAACAGTTTGTCAGATATTTTTGAATATTGAACTTGAAAAAGGTTTCAAGATCGTTGGTACAATCGATTTTAAAAAAAGAATATATAGCAATAAATTCATTATATTATAGCTATAAATTCATTATATTATTATACTTAATTACTGAAATCGCAACCCTATCTTTTAGATCAAATAAAAATAATAATAATTTTTTTAAAAAAATTTTTTTGCAAACGAAGTTAAATAAAAAGCA